ACCGTGTATATACGTCTACGCCAGATCCTTACGTTGTAAAAGGTATAAAAACAAAACGTTTTAAGACAATATATTATATAGAATGTGCGTCATATATTCACGTATATATTATATACCGATGACTACTTCTAAACTTTTCCAGAAAAACTAATAATTCAAAACGTAACTTTTACCATATAGGTACCTATTCAAAAACAGTCTTGCACATATAACTTACAAATACATTTTTAGCACTGCGACTTATATTTTGGATAAAACTAAAAAAATGTCATACAAAATGCGAATCTCGCAATTTTATAAAGTACTTGTTAACGACAAGTCAAATAAGTCAAAACCATCAAAGGCATTATGAATATAATATGCTAATATATGACAAAAAGTATATTATATAGATGTTTATTCGAAACTAGGTACATAAATATTAAATATTAATTTAAATAAAAAAAAACTTTTTATACATTGTATAAAAAGTCGTTATTAGATATTCAAATTTAGAATTCAAAGGATTTTTAATGTCTGTGTATATGTTAGAACTTTGTAATCCTACATTCAGTTTAACAAAAAAAGCATATTTTAAAATAAAAAATTATATTATATTATCATAAAGGCAGGTTTTAGACATTAAACATTTGGATTTTCGTCAAATTATGATATTTGATTTTATGGTCATATTATAAGACAAAATAACTAGTGATAATTAAAGAACAAACTAATAAATAAATTAGCAGGTAGTTATTTACGAATAAACTAATGAAAAAATAAAAAGTAATATTTAAGAGTATTACAGTTGCTTGTTTTAATAGTTTAATTAAGTATTTTCAAGAAAGTAGATCCGTAGATGTAAGAAATTTAATAAATTAAATTCCAAAAAACTTGCTATTGTGGTGTTCACTATTTGAATAAAAAAAATATGCTCTACTAATATACTTATACTTTATTTTGAGAATAATTTAGTCGTCTATGGTTATTCAGTGTTAGGAGCTATGCAGTACAGTATACATTTCTAAACAAATCTTTATGACTAAAATATTAATAATATTATGTTACTTTGAAATAATAATTTATATAATATTAAATTATTGTTATAATCATAATTATTTGTACATAATATTATACATTGCATACGTGTTTGATTAAATGATTTAAGAACTATTAGAGTGATATGTATTTAATATTTTAATTATATAGTTTATAGGTGTATTATCAAAATGTATTATTTGTATAAGTTTGCAAAGAACTTGGATTTCATCTTATAGGTACTATTTTAATATTATTATCGCATAATCGTTTTCAAAATTTCAAAACGAGACAGATGCCTAGTGCCTACGACATAAATAGAAACTGAAGGGTGTTAAACAATTAGACACACGGATTAACACGTCGTTATAATAGCCAAACAATTTCACACGTACGTGGGTCCGTACTACAGAGGATTTAATTATTCATTAGAGGAAAACTAGAAGCGTCAGATCTTCTCGTTATAGATGGAATGCCTCATTAAACCCACACCTTTTCACATTATTTGATTTCTTGAAGACAATGCGAGTACAAAAATGAGTGAATGGTGAATCGTGAATGGACGAGTTTTTATTCTTATCCCCGTGAGTTATTTTCATTATATAGGTATTGTAAGTCATTATTCATATTATCTACCTATGAACTTCGGTCAATCGTGTCATCACAAGTACAATAAAAAAATGTTCCTATATAAAAGACAATACACGATTTTTTTTTAGTAACTTTATCTACAATATTCTTGTCTTACACAATATTGTACACTCGTTTAAGTAATTAACCTTGGTTGGACTGGTATACGACCTACCGATGATAATAATAAAATATTATTATTTGATAATATGAATTATAAAATATCGGTCGAGTGGTCAATAGAGACTGTTATTATATAGGTAGCTGGTAACACATAATTTGGGACTGTGTGAAAAATGTTACATTTTTCGGAATGAATTTTTTTTGGCCATTAACGATGCGATAATCGTATTGTGATAATTACATTTTTAAATTTCTAATGACATCTATAAAACATTATAATTATTACTTAACGACTAACGTGTTTGTTATTTTTATAAGTAGGTAGGTACTTCCGGATCGTCAAGATCCAAGTTGCACATTTCTCAAAGAATTTACAAATCTATGTGAATAAAATGAAAATAAAAATGTAAAAATGTAATCAAAAACACAACAAAATGAAAAATATGATTAAAATATGTTGATTTAAATATGTTTATCAATATTGTACCTACATTATTTTTTTTAATTAAAAAATTGTTTTTTATTTCCTTTAACTACTACTTTTTTTTCAAAACATGTTATAGGGAAAAATTGATTTGCTTAGCTTGGAATCCGAGGTCGTTTACTACCGGCTTTTTTACTATGAGAATGTAAAATTTAAAATCACTTTTATTATATTCAAAACTGCTTGAATACCTAACATTTTACATTATACCTATACATAATATTTTACTGGACGAGTAACTTATATTTCTTGTTTAAAATTTCGGAAGACGATAAGATTTATCTAAAAACATGTAGGCACCTATATTTATTATAATGTTTACTTATTATTATAATATATAGGTACCTACCAGCTGTTATATCGGTTGGGGGTTTGCTGGTCAGCCTTATCTGCAGTATAGAGTACAGAAAAACCAAACCAAATCACTTGATAAATAGTAATAATATAATTTACGTGAAGGTGAAGGTGTACCTTACCCTCCGACACGGAAGTTTGTCTTAGGTACAACTAACTAAATATTATACCACTATACCTACTTATTGTGTATATAAGTATAGCGGAAGAAAAAAAACCATAACAAATCTCACCAATGTTCGCTATCGATATAATTATTATTTATTATTATATAATTTATATTATCGATTAGATTGTTGTAAAGGTTTCGGCGGTCCTGGTCGTAGCGGTTCCGATGATGCGACGTGACCTCCACCAGATAAGTACAAACAATATTATTATAATTTATAATATTATAATATAGAATTCAATAGTCACAGCGGCGGATAGAGCCCGACTAAATGAAAAACGATAAAATAACAATGCATAATAATAATGCATGTTATAATATTATTATTATTGAATTATAAACCGTAGGGACTGCATATAATGACATGTTCATACAGAGTGATTGAATAAACACCTATAAATTTGTTTCCTTTTGTTTTTTCTTATAAGCAGGTGTTCCAAATGTTCTCGAGGCCGGGTCATTACAGGGCGACTAAAAGGCAATGCAGACATACCGTCTAGTCTCGCCGGGAAACAATAATTAAAATAACAGTCATTCAATGTTGTAATAATATATAACGATTATACGTCGAGCAATGCACGCTGCGCTCTGTACACCGAATAAGACCTATAATATTAATATTGTATGTTATAAAATAAGAAAAATGTTGTTTTCGTTGGACTCGTGAGGGGCAGGTATGGTAAAAATATAATATTTTATCATAATATTAATTAAATTGATAATAAAATAATACAGAGGTATGGTATGTGTCTCCTCGCAGCCGTCGGTTCCGCCGCCGCGAGTTTTGTATACGTACACACAAACCACATCGTTGTAGCCGTCGTCATACACTCACACATACGCGCGACCGATTCAACATCACGCCATATCACATGACCCATTGCTGACCAATCAGCGATCACGTGCATAGCGCCGCCGTCATCGTCGCCGGTTTTGGGTCGTCGTCGTTCGCCGTCGCCGCTGCGCCGCATTGTTGACGTACAATATAATTTTATATTTTATTTTATAGTACAATATAATAGGTACGTATTATAATAACTAATAATAATAATAATAATAATAACAACAATAAACAATGATAATAAAACACACCTGCCCGCGGCGGCGCTCGCAAAACGGTAATCGGTCGGGTACGCCGTATCATCATCATAGGTTTAACTGCTGCAGGTATATAAGATACATAATATAATATTATTATTATTATTATTATGGTTATCACCCCACGTCGGTAACCGGAGCTTCGAGAAAATTACGAAATATTTTGTACTTATGTGCGCATACCGAAATTCCGTAAGTAGGTAGGTACCTACACGGCGCATCGTCCGGACCGGACTCCCGCAATTGATCTATACCTGTCACCTGATCGGTTTACACGAAGTTTAGAGACGAAACTTTCAATCAAATCAGGATTTTCGTTGGACGTGTATCGTTTGTGGGTAAGATGTATAACTTATTATTATTATTCGTTCGATAATTTTTTATGCCAACGGTTGATTTCGATGATGACCTATCCACGAGTCGCGAGTGCCCATGGATGATAGACGTCTTTCAATTGGTAAATGGTATAAGCTATATTATGGGTAATAATATAATAATGCAAAATTTTCGAATAATATTTCCAGCTGTTACAATAATTTATTGTGGTCGTATTGAAAGTTAAAACGTAAATACTACAATACTTTATTAGTATAGTATATAGTACATACTACATACTGACTACTTATCTCAGCTATATGCCTATGTATACCTACGACTGAAGTAAACAAGTAAACAAGATTAACAACGACGCAAGACAGCTGCAGCAGTAGGCATTGCAGTTTGCAGACCGTTTTTGCCGGTCGTTATATAACCTGCAGGCCAGTTTCCCCTGTCCGTTAGAAAGTATAACAGAAAATTACACGTACGAAATTAATGTGGAATGTGCATAATTATCAAAATTAAGTGCAACACACACTTTGGATACGAGAAAGCAATTATAGCGGTATAGTCATAAACGTAAACAAGTATAGGTAATATAGGGATACAATACGTATGTCTGCAGTATTTATTATTTTTTGTTTTTTTTTTTTGCCAAGTTCAATAATTTGGCATTTTTTCCCTTGAAATTGAATTTTTATATTGTTTAAATATCGTTTATGCTTTTTCAAAAAAAAAAACTCAAAAAGAAGGTCAAATGTCTTTACGATTAACAACAATTCTATATGGTTGTGCGTGAGTATTTACCTGTTTTGCACATGTCGGGCAGCTCGTCAGTGTTGTCGCCGCAATCGTCATCACCGTCGCATGTCCACGCTAGTGGCACGCATTTCCCATTGCCGCAAGTGTGTTGTCGTAGTGTACATTCGACATGGGGTATTGGCCGCCTGGTGGTGGTCGAAACCAACGGCTTGTCTTTGGAAACTGTAACCAAACAATTATAATGATATTATATTGTGTCGTGATGTAGGTAATTACAATTTTAAAAACACGGTTGGGGTTAAAGTTAAAATTAATTAGAATGCAATTCGAATGGTATTCTTAAATTGTCTAAGTACCTATTTCTGCTTTCGTGATTCACCTTCTGGTTATTACGAAATCGTGGGTAGTGGGTACCTACTACCTACTATATACGTACGAATAGACAGTTTTGGTTTTCAAATTATAAGGTAACAATTTATATAGTAAAACGATACAGATATTCGAATATTTCCCTTGATATTTTTTAAACGGGTTTAGACTCTTGAAATAATGCAATATATTATAATATACATTAGATTTAGATTATACATACACATAAACATTACATTATATTTTATGTTTTGTATTGACTATACAGCATACACTCATTTGATGACGTTGGCACTTTGAATTTGGCATGATTATTACAATTTTATATTATACATTAAAATTATTCTATAAATCATATAATATATTATGAATAAGTCCTCAGTCTATGAACTGGCCACTTGAATAAGTTTATCAGAGTAGAAAGGTGTTGTAATTTATAATTTTAAATCGATGATGCGTCATCTTAATCAAATTATGACTCTTAAACCTTAAGTTGCTTATTAATGCGAATCCTACCTACTTATAGGTATATGTTAAAAGATAGATTAGGAAAATAATATCTCCAAAAACCTACATTATAGTACTAAAAAAATAACGATTTCAATGCTATTATAAAACTAATATCACTAGGTACTAGAAAGACAATAAATTTAATATTAAACATGACCTGTTAATTTATATTATAATATAAGAACGATTTTGTAGTATGATGAATATCGATAAACTTGTAATCTAGCTTTTGTGTGGAAATTATAATATTCCAGGTTTAATTATAATTTAATTAAGTGATAAATTATAAATTATAATTTTTTTATACTAAAAGTTAATAATTGGACTCTGGAATTCATCTATTTTGTACATAACTTGGGCTTACATGATGCTTATTGCTTTTAATATGCCTCAAACTAAAGTATCCATCACAGAATATGACCATCACGATGTCTTCATTATTCGATCTAAAATCTCAACCTAAATCTTCTTAACGGTAAACTGTACCAGAGATGCTGGAAATCGACGTGAGTGTAAAACGAATTAGGCATAATATTTATTCTCCACCGGACGGTATTTATAGCAGTGTAATTATTAATTTTATTAAATATTTAGAATAAAGAATTTAATAAACGTAAGCTTTTTTTGCAAAAGTTCATTAAAAAATGTACACTTCAATACACAATAACACTAACACTACAATATACTGGTTATATATTTAATATCGAACTATACAAATATATATTAATTATTCATACCCGATTTCCATCACATTAAATAATTAAAAAAAAAATAAATTAAAATTATGTTTAAATAAATAGGTAATGTAAGTAGGTATAATAGGTATTGTAGAAGATACTTATTTCCTTTAGTATAAATAATAAATTATAAGTTCTTAATAATAAATTTAGTATTGATCAATTATAGTCTATGCACCATAAATGAGGAAAATTAAATTATATTTGGTTTGTTTTTAGATTCTGAGTGGAACGATGAATGTATTGATTTTACAATAATATGTGTTTTTTTTTTTTTTTAACTTTTTTTTATGTGTCTATGTACACGATAAGTAGTCGAAATAATGTTTCGATTTTCAACTTCAGTATCTTGTTCGATTGGAAAGTGAATATTGTTGGTACATTGAAGAGGTCAAAATTTAAAATTCCTAGTAATTTTCAAAACAAAAGAAAAATTAAGGAAAAACGGGAATTCTTACGCAAAATCGATTTTGGTTTTTGGTGTAAGTTTAAAACAAATGACAATACATGAAATTTTCACTGGTTGTTTATATTTGCATTTTCTATACACGTTAAAATTTTCAAAATATTTTGATTTATTTTGAACTGCTTATAGGGACATTTTCAGTTTCCAATTTAATTAGTTTTTTTTTTCTATGAATGTCAATAAAACTTTATTTGTTGAGTAAAAATACTTGAAAATTTAATAAAAGGCTCCTACTATATTGTTACACTGACATTTGAAAAATATTAAAAATCCTTAACCTTAGTCACAGTTTTTTGTTATAAGCATTTAAAGTTCAAATATTGACAAAATATACGTAAAAATGACGAAAATTTGCAAATTATTTCAAGTTAGAAATTCCTAAAAATTTTTCTTTTTAAATCTAAGATATGAAAATATAATGCATTTCCTATACACCATACAATTTTCAAAATATTTTTTAACTCTTTTTGAGCTGTTTACGGACATTTTCAGTTTAAAATTTTTTTAGTTTTTTTTTCTATAAATATCAATAAAATTTATTTGTTGGGTAAAAAGCGTGAAACTTTAATGCAAAGCTCCTGATATATTTGAAACGGCCGGGTGGCCCTCGAACCCCCTCCCCTTTATATTTGTAAATAATTAATCATTCCATAGAAATAAAGAATCAGATGATACGATAACCATTTATACACTTTATTTAAAGTGACGGACAGTCGCTCTCAGGTGACTCCGTTTCATATTGTTACAATAGCAGTTGAAAAATATTAAAAATACATAGGCACAATTTTTTTATATAAGCATTTAAAGTTCGAATTTTAACAACATTTATCAAATTTAAAATTTACCTAATAATAATTTTGTAGTTAAAAATTTATAAAATGTTCAACTTTTATAGCTAAGGATAGAAAATTTAAAACAAGATTCCACGTAAATAGCTTATATATAAATTACTTTATTCACCTTATAGTATCATCAAATACTACTTCGTCATATACTTCGTAATATCATAGGCTGACTAACCGTTTTGGCTCAGAATCATTTTTCTTATACAATGATATAATATAATTGAATTCAAATTTAATACCATCCATTATACAGTGACCCACTTGTACCCTACTGTGCAGAAGAGCACCTTTTTAATATTTAAATCCACTTTTTGGTAGAAAACTAAGGGTTTTACTCATTTTACGATTAAATTGAAAATTCTATATAATATACTTAAACAGAAATTTAGTTATAATTCATAAAAGTGTAACATCAGAGTTCCTAAATGGATAAATAATGAACACAATTTTATGAGTTTAACACATTTTACTAAACAAACTATTATTTAACTTTGATAATGGAAATGGGTTTTGAAAAAATGTTAAAATTATTATATTTATTTATATTTAATATTAGTGTAACTTATAAAACTCACTGCGTTAACTGTTAATAATACTATTTATTTAATAGTATTTTTAAAATTTTTACCTTAATAGCTTTCTTATAAGAGTAGGTACCAATAACTTGTTAATTATAGTTAGTATTTAAGTAGATTTAAGACGTATAATGTATAAACATCATACAATTTCTAATTATGTAATTAAATATTAATAAATTAATAATATTTAACTATCATAATACTATTACATAAAAATGGCAATAGATTATATCTATAGTAGGTATACCATATTATATTTTCATATTTATCAAACAATAAATCATGAAATATATAATATGTATAAACAGTGTTACTGTATTTTTATGTTTAATTAATGTACATTTGTTATAAAAAATACTATTCATACAAAAATTGTATTACAAATAAAATAATATGAGTTCAAAATTGAAATAAAGAATTGCTTATTTGATTTTTTGTTTTCAATTTATAAGTAGAGCAAGCTAGAAAAAAAAAAATTAGAGTATTTTTTGAGTGTAAAAAATGTGAAATCTTACAAATTTGAATTGAAATGTACCATACCCCTTCTTTCAGTTCGTTTTTTTTTTATGTTTATTGTTTACATGTTACAGTAATGATTATAATAGTTTAACAATTTAAAACCTATCTTGAAATTTAAATTATATTATTATTAACCTATTATTAACCTATATATTATTAAACAAATGTACGGTTTAACAAACGGTTGCTCTTAGTTGGTTGAATTTTTTTTCGACCATGTCTTGTTTTGTACCCGTTGAAAATGTGCCAATAGAAAAAATTTCGTCTACTTTTGTCAGCAGAATCGTAACTGCAACTCAACTAATTGAATGATTTGGCGACGAAAGTAATTTTTTTTTATTCAATGACTCATTTGGCTCATGCTAGATCGATTTTATCTTTACTGCCATTTGTTATTAAAGGGTGTAAGTGTGTAACATGCATTGATCTTACTTTTTATTTATTTAAACATTTATATCCATTGTTATACAATAAGGTAAGTTTAATTTTATTTTACTTCCACATTCCACACTATAACTTAATACTAATATAAGAACAACTGCAGTTGTATAAAAACGTTAAAAACTGCAAGCATGTTTTATTTGGAGTGTGTAAATTTAACATAAAATTACCGAATCAAGCTTAGCCAAAATACTACATTGTACAATAGCCAATAATATCAGAAGTAAAAAATAAAAAATAAAATAAATACTATGATGTTCTTGTATTTATATTCAATGTCCTCGATCGAATTAATCATATTTTGCATAGGTTAATTAAAAACGATAACATTGATTATACGGGACAAAATAATTGTAAATACTCACAATAATAAAACGTACGAAAAAATATAAACAGGTAGATAAACCAGTTCAAGCGATTACGCAAGGTCGATCAAACAGAGTTTATTGTATTGAAGGACTCCTTACGTCACTATAAACATTATATTAACCAAAGTATCAGGTGAAGTACCTATAATAATATGTCTATCAATGAATTATCTCATAACTGTTTACTGCATAGAACCCATCACATTGTTTCAATTTCCAATATTATTAATCAACAATGCGTATGAAATGTCGGTACGGGATATTTCGCAGGTATAACGTATGTCTTCAATATCAATAAAATAGAAAAATCCCAGGTGTGATATGAAATAATAAATATTATATAGTATTAAAACTTTTTCGTTGTTTCTATATATGCTGTTACATGGGAT